TTTAGAGTAAAATAGACCATAAAACAGGGTATGCTTTTAGCGCAATGCATTTCTGTCACTGCTTTGATTATTTCTTGCATCAAATCTTTTGACAAATATAATTTAGTGTACTGTTTATCTGGAATACAAGGACATTTCCTGCTGGACGAGTCAAAACTGTGTAGCTCAACTCGCAGTATGTCACCACTGCTGGCTCCAGAAAACCCAAAATAGTAATGGCCATAATGCTGAACTCGATGCTTCAAAATGGTACTCCACAAACCAATGGGTGACGTCGCAATAGGTTTACATTTGATGCTCATCTGTGGATTTGATAGCCTTTAACTTACTCTGCATTAGGTACAGTAGTCAAAGCTGTCCTCAACACTAAAACCAAAGTAAATGAGTCTCAGGTCTTGGCTCTGAAATTAAAGCTTTAACAATGGGATTATAACCTCCAACGCCAATGTGTGAACCCAATCCAGTACTTCAAAGGAAAAAAAAATATCTAACTTTCTTTTGAATTTTGTTTCCTCTAATGTAACATTACAAGAAGGGAGAATGAGTTTTTACAGGTTGTAGAAATATGCAACCTGTGCAAGTAGCTGCAAGCAAACGCTGATTCGGAATCATGCCAAAATGTTTGGGAGCCACTCAGTGAGATACGTAATGAGTCCTCATTCAATGTGAATATAAGGTATATCTTACCCAACTGAGCAAACATTATTGTGATAAAAAAAAAGACATTTTTAATCAGTTCTACTACTGCTGTCTCTTTATGGATTATAATTCTAGTTTCTCCATCAGTTAAAATCTTATTAACTATTGGATGGATTGTAGATGCCTTTTAATGATTTTAAAGGTGGAAATTATACTTTTTTGGCGGAAAAAAATACATCAGACAAGCAGGCTATTTGTAAAATGTCTTAATCGTTGCCTGGGCACTTGTGGTTTTTGTCTACACGGGTACCCTTACATCACCTACTGGTAAGTCAAGGTACGCACCCATAAACACCCGCGTCTGTTTGAGACTTTGCTTTTATTAGACGTTTTACAGGATGTATGTGGACAGTTGCCAATGTTCATTTAGAGATAAATACCAATGCTTATCACTGTAAAAAGGTTTATAAGCCATGTTTTGGACTTATATATCTATCTATGGGATAACCCCTTTTGATTTGAGGGAGAACATTTCCGCTGGAGCCACCCTGTGGACAAACTGAAACATTAAAGATACCAGATGTTTTAAAAAGCAGGAGTTTTGCATTGAAGGACATATTTCCCCAGCTCAGTCACCCATTCCTGTAGTTATATGGGCCATTAGGTTTTATTTAGTGTCCAAGTTGTTTAAAGGCAGAGACTCTGGTGTTGTCTTGTGATTTAAAAGCTGCAGCAAAGCCTAATAGGCCTCAGATGTCTGGCTGTGACACGCGACGGACAAAGCAGGCAGCAGAGATTAGGACTGACGAAGCGATGGAGATAGTGGAGAAAGAAAGATGGAGAGAGTAGAAAGAGGGAATGAAAATGTATGAAAAAGTCAGCCAGGAAAGTAGAGGAGATGTTGACAGAGGGGGTGCTCAGAGATTCCTTTGAGGCCCTCAAGACTCTACTCTAAAAGTATTTATTCAACTTGATGGAGGTGACATCTGCCCAGGAGTCAGCAAGCACAAAAATGTCAGTATTTTACCTTGCTGCTCCCAGTGACAATTATGAACGGAAATTAGTGGATTTAGGGCTGGTGGGGACCATGAGCCCTGTTTTAAAATGACTAGGTCAATTTAAGTAGAAACACTTCTCTCATTAGGCAACAGGTCTTTAACATTTCATCCCCATCTCTTTTGACCTCGACATGGCATTTTAGGATTTTCATTTTAACTTGTCAGTACTTGAGCTGATGTCATTGACAAGGCTTAAGATTTCTCAACACTTGAGTGGTTCCTTTAACAACACTAATGGGCGTATTTGCACAAATTACCGTCGGGAACACCAAATATTGAGTCAATTTTAGGCAATTTTTCAATTTAGCAAGAGATTTTGGAGGTAAGTTTAGCTAATTTGCATAAATTGCAGTTAAATAAAACCTGCTGCTGGCCCGATGTCTGGAAAGTGTTTTCTGCTGTTACTGCTTGAGAAGAAGACATTTTTTGGGAGTGTATTCATCACTGCAACAAGAAGGCTGCATGAGGAAATATTAAATAAAAGCATGATTGATTGACTTTTTGTTAAACTACGACTCCTCTTGCACTGAAGCTGCTGTTAGCCATTAAATTCTCTTTCTGCCTCTGTCACTGCTACACTGCAGTTGCCATTCCCTCCTATATTCCTCTGAAAAGGAAACCTTACAACTCATATTGTATCCATTTTTACTTGAAGAAGCCCCAAATGAAATGTTGTGTTAACTTGCCATCATTTGCCAACATGAAACGCAGAATACAGTCGAGGCTGATGGGAAAGCCAAGTATTAGGTCATAAACCAAAGAACTGGACACATTAAACTGTTGACCTGATGATGGTGCTAGATGAAAAGCCAGAGGATCATCAAACAGGAATTCTGGTTGTCTCAACAGGTTGAATTTAAGACTCTAAAAGACCATTATAAATCCAATTTCAGACCTATTTTACATCCATGCTGGCAAAGAAATGTTTGTTGTGTTGTAGCTGTTACAGCATGATGAAAGCTAATTTTTTACAAGAAAATCTCATTTTAAAGATCTGCCCAATCATATTTAAGACATTTTAAGAGTTCAGACATTTTAGGACCCTGTGGACACCCTGACCAAAGATCTTACAAATCGTCCTGAAGGGGGAATGAATGTCAGAAAGTTTCATAGCAATCCATCAAATATTTGCCAAGACAATTACTTGCAAACCTTCTGGAGGTGCTTGAGGAAACCCAATCCTCGGAGTCATTAGGATGCAACGTCTGAGAACCAGCAATGTCTATTATGTTTATTTTATAATATATAATTTTGATAATTGTGACCTGATGCTGGCGATAATAGAACAGGGGATCATGAAAGAAGTCCCTATGGCTGTTCACACAGCAGTCCATTGAATGCATTCCTTAAGGAATAACTTGCAACTGCCACTAAGATCCCAAGCAATGACAAGGGCAACTACAAGGAAATGTTAGCTCAGGTAAGAATGTTTCCTCAGTCTTTACAGACTGCAGAAAGACTGCACACTTACAATTTTTTATTGTAATCTTATTTTAACCCTAACTGAAACTACAGAGTCAGATATTGAAGGTGGGTTTACCTTGATGCTGATGGATCAACATCAGAGTTGTGGTGAGGACCCAAAAGTAAGTCAAGTCCATCCTGCTTGCCTCCTCAGCGTCCAGGTGAAATATCTGTCTCACGTAAAATTCCTCACAGCAGCTTCTTTCTTCCAGTAATAAAAAGTGTCAGAGAAGAGCCCAAAGACATTTACAATGCACGAGGAACAGGAAGGGGTCTTGCTGAATCAAACACCTGACCACACACAGCTTATATGAAGGTTTCCAGTGAACACTCAAAAAAAGATAAAGTTCTTCGAGTTTTACACCACAAATTTCCACTTGATCCAGTCAGGTAAATGTTGAAATCTGCCACCCAGGTGCTGAAGTAGCACTGGTTCAGGGCTGTGTCATGAGGCTGCTGTGGTCTCCAGGCGGAGGGAGGATAATGTGACCGGTTGGGAGCCCGGCTGTATCATAACAGATGGGGAGAAGTGAACTGCAGGAGAGAAGGGAGGAGGAGGAGGAG